GGTTCTGGGGGTGCTGCTGCTGGTGGAGCTGGTCCTGGAGGAGCTGGCGCTGAGGGTTCTAGAGTTGCTGGAGGTGCTGGAGCTGCTGGGGGTGCTGGAGCTGCTGGTGCTGGTGGCACTGCACAGCCGCGCCTATTCTTCGCTCCACCGTCTCCGTTGTCTCAGCCACCGCCTGACTCTGTGCTTCGCCAGGTTCTTAGTCTCCCTTCGTCTTCTGGTCTTCCGTTACAGCCTGGCTCACCGCTGCCTACTCCTTCTCCTTACACTGAGCAGACAGGGGGTTTTACTGAGCATCGTGAGCCTGCGTCGCGTCCTGTCTCGCCTGTCCGTTCTCGTAGTTCCGGTCGTCGTGTTCCTCGTTCGCGTCAGCCGGCTGTCCCCGGCACCCACCTCGCAGTTCGTCGTCCTTCCTCTCCTCCGCAGCGTGTTCCCCTGCCGTCCCCTCCTGTGTCTTCTCTGCCTACCGTTCCTGAGCCTGAGTCTGACCGCACCCGTGCTGCTCACTCTACTGTCACGCGTCTGCTAGCCACAGTTGTCACTGATCCGTCGTTTGAGTCTGCCTTTGTTGCTGAGCTTGTTGACTTTGCTGCTGCCTGTCGTCTAGACTACGCCGCTAGTCTTGTTGCTGAGTCTGAGTCCGTCTGTCCTCCGTCCGTCGGGGGTGAGTGTGCTCTTAGCACGGACGTCCTTGAGGACAGGCAGGAGGACCTTGAGTGTCTTGCAGCCGCTGCGCCTCATCTCGTGTCCATGTTGCTTGCCCCTGAGGGAGACCTGGATGCTCCAGACATCCCGACCCCGCGCTCTTACGCTGAGGCGAGCGCGGGTGAGTACTCCTCTCAGTGGCAGACAGCCATGGACGCAGAGATGGCATCCTGGAAGTCCACAGGCACTTACGTTGACGAGGTTCCCCCTCCTGAGGCGAACATCGTCAGTGGCATGTGGATTTTCAGGGTGAAGCGGCCGCCAGGTTCTCCGCCTGTCTTCAAGGCTCGCTACGTTGCTCGAGGTTTTAGTCAGCGAGAGGGAGTAGACTTCTTTCAGACCTTCTCCCCCACCCCGAAGATGACCACTCTTCGGGTGCTGCTGCACGTTGCCGCCCAGCGTGACTACGAGCTTCACTCTCTTGACTTCAGCACATCTTTCTTACAGGGCAGCCTGCACGAGGAGATCTGGCTGCGCCGCCCTCCTAGCTTCACTGGGTCGTTCCCTCCTGGTACCCAGTGGAGCCTCCGGCGGCCAGTCTACGGTCTCCGCCAGGCACCACGTGAGTGGCACGACACACTGAGGACTACACTTGCGGCTCTTGGGTTTGCTCCGTCGACTGCTGACCCGTCGCTGTTTCTGCGCACCGACACGTCGCTGCCGCCGTTCTACATCCTCGTGTACGTCGACGACTTGGTCTTTGCCACTGCTGACACTGAGGCTCTCGCCCTGGTGAAGTCGGAGCTGCAGAAGAGACACACGTGCACAGACCTGGGTGAACTGCGCAGCTACCTTGGCTTGCAGATCACCCGGGACAGAGCACGCCACACCATCACACTGACTCAGTCACACATGGTGCAGCAGGTCCTTCAGCGCTTCGGCTTCACCTGGTCCTCGCCACAGCACACTCCTCTGGCTACAGGCCACTCGCTCTCAGCTCCACCTTCGGACGAGTCCGTAGAGCCGAGTGGCCCGTATCCAGAGCTAGTGGGCTGCCTCATGTACCTGATGACCTGCACTCGACCTGACCTTGCATACCCTCTTGGCCTTCTGGCTCGCTACGTGGCTCCTGGTCGGTACCGAAAGGTGCACATGGATGCTGCGAAGAGGGTACTGCGCTACTTGTGCGGTACATCGGGCATGGGGCTCGTGCTTGGAGGGCGGAGCGCAGTTGTCCTCACTGGGCACTCAGACGCTTCTTGGGTTGACGACCAGGCTACGCAGCGGTCGTCACAGGGTTACACCTTCAGCCTTGGCTCTGGTTCAGTTTCTTGGCGTTCTACACGCTCGTCTTCTGTTCTCAGCTCCAGTTGTGAGGCTGAGATCTACGCCACAGCCATGGTTGCACAGGAGTTACGCTGGCTCACCTACCTGCTGACCGACTTGGGAGAGCGGCCTCGTTCTCCTCCAGTGCTGTACGTCGACAACAAGGCCGCCATTGCCTTGTGTCAGGAGCACAGACTGGAGCACAGAATGAAGCACATCGCTCTGCGTTACTTCCTGGCTCGAGAGTTGCAGCAGCGTGGTCAGCTTCGTCTTGCTCACGTGGCCACTCGGGCCAACACTGCTGATATATTCACCAAGGCACTTCCGTCTGGTGATCATCAGCGTTTCTGCACTTTATTAGGCCTTGTGCCCACTTTTCCTCACTTGCTGTAGACTTTGTTTGTACTGTGATATATATATATATGTATATATACCTGCTTGCTTGCTCTGCTAGGTAGAGATCACTGTGTTGTTGTTGTGAACTGGCCTTGTGGCCTTTTGCTGGTGCTCGGACTGCGTGGTGACGTTGTGATCCACCCTGAGCTTGCTTTGCATTTCCTGACTGGTCTTGTGACCCTCTGTTCTCCCCCACTTGGCCTATGGGGGTGTGTCAAGCATATATGTATGTTTATCGTTTGGGTAGGCTTATTGGGGTACTCACTGTGGGGTACAACCCCTTATGTTTCTCCTTTGTACCAATCCTCTCGATAGTCAAACTTCATCCTTGCCTAAGACTCGAACAAAAACTTGGTAACCTTCTTGCAGAGCATAGCAGAGCAGAGCAGAACGTGTGACTTGTCCTAGTAGTGCAGTTAAAAGATGTTTTGAGTTTATTTACGGCGCTTGTAATGCAGTTGAGGTTCGGAGTTCAGTGCTTGCAGTGCAATCAATAAAGGTTTCGTGCCCGCTGATTGCAGAGGAATTCTCTGTTGCTCCGTGGTGCTTGCATTGCATGCCAAGATTTCACTTCTGAGAATGATCAAGATGTACAATGAAAGCAGCAAATGACGGTAAAAAAGGAGCATGCATACGTACGTGGATGCATGGAATCATGAATGGATGGGCGCATGGATTCTTGGAATCATGGGTTTATAGATGCTTGTGTACATATACGGATGCATGGATGGATGCACACATGCATGTATTTATGAATGTGTGGAAGCTCGAATGCATAGACACATGGATGGATGGATGGATGCATGCGTGTATGCATGTATGCATGGATGCATGTATGTGTGGATGTGTAGATGCATGGATGTGTGTCTGTGGATGTGTGTGTGGATGCGTGGATGCATGGGTGCATGGCCCATGGATGGATGAATAGATGCACGGGTGCATGGATGCATGCACACACATCTGGTATGATTCATACTGTGAAGCAACAGTAGCAGTAGCAGCACTGTGTGTGGCAGAGGCAGTAGCGATCCCAGCTTCAGAAGCTTGGGAAACTGCAAGCGTTAGCAACAGGAAAAAATGCTGCAATTGCTGCAGCATTTTCAACCGCTACAGCAAATATTGTAGCTACTGCGGCAGCTATTGCTGCTTCACAGAATACAGCAGCTTCAGCGGCTACAGAAGCTGATGCAGCTGATGCAACAGCTTGAGATTCTAGGGGCGGACCAGCTTCAACAGCTGCTACTGCTGCAAGAGCATGAGACACCAGCCACAGAGGCAGCATCGAACCGCTGTTGCTGTGTATGCATCAAAGGCAGGAATAATTGCGTTTGCAATCTCACGCCCTACCGCTGATGCCACATGATTGCTAGAGCAACAGAGGGCAACAACCAGAGAAGCAGAGGCTGGAACAGCAACCACAGCAGCAACGTGTTTCCTCCTGGGTTCACATCTAAGCCCCCCCCCTTCTCTCCCTCCCTCTACCCCCCCCCCCCTCCCCCCCCCCCCCCCCAAAAAAAGCAGCAACGGGCTAGGACCACAACAAGGGGCAACTTTTAGGCCGTGTTGTGTGATGTGTTGAATTGATGGTAGCTATTTGGAGCGTGTGACGGTAACACCACTTTCTGTGGTCCTGCTGGTCATACCGGTAGTCATGCGTGCTGCTGTTTCTAGATAGGGTGTATCTTTTCATGCAAACTTCAACCAGCAAATTTGATAGCTAAAGAAGGTACAGAGACCTCTCAGTGAGGTTACAGAAGGTGAGCATGGTGTTTCTCTCAACGTACCTGGATGTGTTGTTTCAGACACTATGCAGCTTGTAAGGCACGGCTTGGACTCATGTTTGCAACCATTGGTATGTGAGTGATGTCTTAGTTGCCACTTGTGTGTGGCTTGTATGTGTCGTTTTCCAAGGATTCTTCAGTTCCGTAAGCATACCGGCCGATGCCTAAAAGGTAGCTGCTATAAAGAGGTGTAGGAAGAAAGAGTCCTTCAACATTGGCCCCATTTTCAACAGCAGGCACAGTTCGCCCTAAGCTGCTAGTTTCTCTGACACAGTTAGCCCCAAGCTGCTAGTTTCTCTGACACAGTTAGCCCCAAGCTGCTAGTTTCTCTGACACAGTTAGCCCCAAGCTGTACCCATGAAGAAACACCTCCTTAGGCTGCTACCAAGTTTTGCTTGTAACTAGAGACCTCTGACTTTCTTCAGGAATCTCAGCACCCTAGCAGCAGCTGCCACAGCTGCTCGTTTCTCTGCCTCTGTTAATCCCAAGCTGTCCCCATGACGAAACACCTCCCTAACATTGCTAACGAGTTTTGCTTGTAGTGGATCGCTAAATAACTGTCGAGATTCACCCTCGGACTCATTCATAGCCCTCCCACTTGCCAGACCAGCCCGTGTGGTCCTCCTTTTGCCTATCCCACCTTGTGCTTTTGCCTTGGGATAAAATTCACCACCGGTGGGTTTGGCAGAATGGGCTTGGAGGGAGATAGACGGAGAGGAGGCAGAGGGAGAGGAGGCCGAGAGACCAGCAGAAGAACCAGGTGCTTGTGGTTCTGTGTCTGCATTCGCTGTACATGCCTTGATTGCCCTCAACAACTGGCGGTAGTACACTGTAGGGCTGGTCGCAGCATCATCGTCATGCGCATCTGCATTAGAAGCAACAATGGAAATCGTGCCAGTGATGCAAGAAATGTGAGCAGATGCTACAGCAAGAAACGACCATGCATACCATTGTGGGTCAACAAACTAGACGCAGATATGAAATGACTGGTGGATTATTGAGATTGGTTATGACACAGCAGGATGCATCAGGGCATGGCATGACATGGTTTACCCTTGTCATCACATGGCATGCTATAGCATGGCACGGCATGGCATGGCATGGAAGGCATGGCGAGCCTTACACTAGCCGGAAACACAGAAGGTGAAAGACGATCCTTACTGTGCGTGCGGGCGGGGGTCACGGAGGGAGATGCCATGGGCCAGGCGCTACAAGGGGCAATGGGGGGGATGGGTGAGACAAGAAGAGGGGGGCAGACAGGGGGGCAGACAGGGGGGCAGGCAGGACGACAGGTGGGGAAGGAGCAGGAGCACGTGGAACAGTGGAAGCGGGGAGAGGGCAGGCAGGGACAAGTGGGGATTGGGAAAGGGAGGGGAGAAGAGAGGGGGAGGAGGGGAAGGGAAAGCGAGGTTGGTGGAGGGTCCTGAGAAGAGCATCACCTGGTGCGGATCTGGGAAGCAGCGGACTGAGAGTGATGGTCAGTCAGATCCCCCCTGCCACCTGCTCCTCTGGGTTCAGCTTTCGCCGCATGAGCCCTTTGAAAAAGTCCAGGCTGGTGGGGGGGAGGACGGGTCGTGTGTGGGTGATGCAAAGCGAGAGTGGGTGATGCAAGAAGAGGAGTTGAGATGACAGTGATTGTCAGTCAGATCCCCCCTGCCACCTGCTTCTCTGGGTTCAGCTTTCGCCGCATGATCCCTTTGGGAAAGTCGAGGCTGGTGAGTGTGGGGGGAGAGAGGGGCGACGGCAGTGCAAACGAAGGGTGGAGAGTAGAAGCATAGCAGGCATGCACAGCCGATAAAAACGGGGGTCAAAGGGGAGAAAGCCACGCTATGTATTCACAGCAACAGATTAGAATGGAGGTCAATGGTATGACATGTATACCAGTAGGCATGTACTTAGCAAAGGAGGGGAAGGGGGGGAGGAGGGGAAGGAGGGGAAGGGGGGGAAGGAGGGGAAGGGGGGGAAGGAGGGGAAGGAGGGGAAGGAGGGGGAGGGGAAGGATTGAAAGGAGGGAAGGAGGGTTGCGATTTGAAACGAAGGCAACAAATCGAAGGAAAGGGAGGAAATTAATAGATACACATCTTCAACCCTGTATAGTCACTGTGTGTCTTTTGAGAATTCTAAAAAAACACATCTTCACCCCTGTATAGTCACTCACCTGTTACCATCTGGGGAAAGCTCGTATTGTACCCCTGAAGGGTCAGTCGCGAGGAGGTAACCACCCGTAGTGAGACCCTGGAGGGAGGAAGAGGCGAGAGGAAGGAAAGCAGCAAGGGGAGAGGCAAGCCGAGGTTAGGAGAGAGGTGAGGAGAGCGGCGAGGGGAGAGTGAGGGAAGAGACAAAGGGAAAGGCGAGGGCGTGAAGACAAACGAGTGTGGAATGAGACGAGTTTTGAATTGACAGAAAATGTGTGGTGCACCTGTGTGAATGTGCGTGCGTGTATTTGCGCATGGATGGGAGTGGGGGGAACAGGTAAGGGGGAAGTGGGAATGGGGAAAGCGGAAGGGGAAAGGGATTATGGGGGAACAAAACAGGGTGAATGATGCGCATTAAAAAAAAAAAAAAACACATGGACCACCGCCCAAAACCCTCCATCCAAGCAGAACCTGAACCACCCCCGAAACCCCCCTGAACCCCCCACCCAACCAACGCCTGTAACCCCCCTCCCCCCCCCCCCCTTTCTCCCACAACCACACCGGAACCCCTCTTTGAACCCACACCTGAATGGTCAAGGAGACCTGGGTGGTGCCTCCTCCCTCTTTAGGCTCTTCCAACACCACGTGCTGGCCACTGGGAAGTATGGCAGGGGAGCGAGGGCAGGGCGGCCGAGGGCAGGGAGGGGACGGGGACAGGAAGACGAGGGCAGAGGTGCAAGGGCAGGGGGGGAATGTTTTGAGACGTCTCAAAACACTTCTTCAATGAGAGGTGCAAGGGCAGGGGGGGAATGGGGGCAGAGCGGGAGAGGGCAGGGGGGACGGAGGGGGTAGAAAAAGCGGAGAGGCCCAAAAGGGTTGGGGAGATACGATAAAGAAGGGATAGATTTGATAACGGAGAAAGTTGCAGAGCATTTACGAAAAAGGCTAAGGGAATGAAAACAAGTTTTTTTCCAGGAAAGACACAAGCATTAGAAATGCACAGGAGGAGAAAAGGAAGAAGAGGTGGGGGGAGCCGGGGGGAAGGGGGGAAGAGGGGGAGGGGAGGGGAAGGACGAGCCGAGAGGGAGGGGAGGAGCGAGGGATGAATGCAGTAAGAGCGGAGGGGGCTGGAGAGGGGGGCGGAAGGAATGGCAAGGGGGCGAATGCACAAGGTACCTGTGCAGCCAGCGTTGCAGATAATCCGCTTCCAGAGGCTTGAAGCCTGGTGAGAGGATCGGGTGAGGGGAAGAGGGAGACAACAAGTGGAGAGGGAGAGGGAAAGCAGGGAGGAGAGACGGGGAGAAAAGCGGGGGAGGGAGAGTGAGGGGAAGGAAGCGTAAAGGAGGAGAGGAGGAGTTTGAGCTCAAGCTTAACGCAATCACCACTCCCCCCACTCCACCCCCTCCTTCTTTCTCTCTTTCTACAAACAGTCACACTCACCTTGCTGTTAGAATACAAGCAGCAACGAGTGCAGGCGGCTGAGAGCACAGCTGCCAGCGCGCAACGTGAGAGGCGGGATGCGCTCTCTGCAGACTCCTCAAAGGCCCCACCCCACCCTACCCTTCACCACCCTCCCTCCCCCCACCTCCCATCTTCCCCCTCCCCCTCCCAACCCCTCACTCATCCCCATCCCACCTTGCTGTTCAAAGACGGTGAGCAGCGAATGCAGGCGGTTGAGCAGAGCGGCCAGCAGAGCCTCGTGGGAGACAGGCGGGGCAGAGGGGCGGGCAGCTTGCAGAGCAGCGTTGATGCACGTGGTGGGATGGGTGTTGTCCACGTTCAGACCTATGCCTGTGGCAGGTGTTTAAACGGGGAGAGTGGAAAAGTGGAAGGGGGAGGGAGGAACAAGGGGCAGCGGAGGGACAAGTGGTGGCTTGCAGAGCGTTGTTGATGCACGTGGTGGTGGGATGGGCGTTGTCCACGTTCAGACCTATGCCTGGTGGAGCATGGAGGAAGAGGTGGGATGGGAGAGGAAGGAACAAGGGGCGGATGGGGGGGAAGGGAGGAGGGAGGAACAAGGGGCAGAGGGGCAAGTGTCGGCTTGCAGCATTGTTGATGCACGTGGTGGTGGGATGGGCGTTGTCCACATTCAGACCTATGCCTAGTGGAGGTTTTTAGACTGGGGAAGGGGGATAGTGGGCGGGGGGAGGGAGGAACAAGGGGCAGCGGAGGGACGAGTGGTGGCTTGCAGAGCGTTGTTGATGCACGTGGTGGGATGGGCGTTGTCCACGTTCAGACCTACGCCTGTGGCAGTTGTGAAACAGGAGGTGGAGGGGATATGGACGGGGCAGAGGGGCAGGCAGCAGGCAGAGTGGCGTTGATGCATGTGGTGGTGGGGGATTGTGAGCAAAGAGGATGGGAAGGTAAAATTAGATGTTGTTCACTCACTCACTCACCCACTCAACCACTTGCCCACTTACTCACCCTCTCACTCATTCAGTCACTAACTCCACTCACCCTCAGTGACGTCACTGTGCAGACCACGCCACCCACCTTCTGACCGCACATTAAATCAACTTGCCCACCCAGTCAACCATTCAACCCGAACCCCAACCCTTAACCCCATCCCTCCCACCCACTCACTCCACTCACCCACAGTGACGTCAAACGCTCTGTTTCGGTACGATGACGTGCAGAGCACGCCGCCTACCTCCTGCCCGCCTTTTGAGGTGCCTAGTAAGGCCACTCACTCACTCCCACCCACTCACTCACTTCCACCCACCCACCCACCCACTCAATCCCCCACTCCCTCACCCACTCACTCCACTCACCCACAGTGACGTCAAATGCCCTGTTGCGGTAGGATGACGTGCAGAGCACGCCGCCCACCTTCAGCCCGCCCAGAAATATGTCGTTGGGCCACTTGAGGGCTACCTGGGGGAGGGAGGTCTGTTGAGACAGTGGAGGGGACAGACAGAGGGAAGGACGGTGAGAGGATAAACTTGAATTCGTTCGGCTCGGGCCACTTGAGCAGCAGCAGCAGCGGCGGAGGCGCGGCAGGAGCAGCAGCAGCAGCAGCAGCAGGTCACCTACCCCTCTCTCCTTGGCCATGTCTTCAATAGCTTGCACCACTGCCAGCGACAGCACATACTGCAGCAGAGGCAGCGTGCGCCCGTCCACCCAGCGGAGAGAGAGCGAGAACATAAGGCAGCCCTCGGGACTCTCCCACGTGTTGCCTCCCCTCCCTGCCACGTGGGGGAAAGGGGGGGCGGTCAGAGAGATATATTTCGAGTCTAGTAAGAGCAGAAATGGTGCTGGTGCGTCCGCAGACCCAGCGGAGAGAGAGCGAGAACATTAGGCAGCCCTCGGGACTCTCCCACGTGTTGCCTCCCCCCCCCTGCCACGTGGGGTGGTCAGAGGGAGATCAAGAGCGGGCGGGTAAGGGGGACGGGGGGAGAGAGGAAGTGGGGACGGACGGGGGGGGAGGGGGGGAAGACAAAGCAGCAAGTTAGAATGACATAGAACTTTAAACGCGTACCTATTGATGTGGAATAGAAGAGGATGATTGGAGGGGCGAGATGGGAAGATTTCTAGCATGAGAGTTTGAAGGAAAGCGCATGAGGCAGATGGAAGGACGAAACAAGAGAACGGGAGCAGGGCAGAAGTAGGAGGGAGATTGGGAGGAAAGAGGAGGAGTATGAGGGAGAGTGGGATGAGGGAAGTACCTCGTCCGCTGTACTGAATGCGAGAGATGCAGACGGTGCCTATGGGGAGGGTTTCGAAGCTCCTGAAAGGAAAACCAGCATCAATGCATCATCCATTCATGCGTGAATGCATGCAGGAGCATGGCGCATGATAGCATTGTGCATCGTGACATGTGTGCTTTATATCATGCAAGCTTCACATCATGCGTGCTTCACATCATGGGTGCTTCACATCATGCATGCTTCACATCATGCGTGCTTCACATCATGCGTGCTTCACATCATGGGTGCTTCACATCATGCATGCTTCACATCATGCGTGCTTCACGTCATGGGTGCTTCACACCACATCATGCATGCTTCAACAAAGTGCAACATTAGAGATGCATCAACGCAGCACAAACACAAGCCATGCATTCAGCACAACACAACACATGACACCATGAGCCAATCACCAGCATGCAGCACAACAGCACAGCAGCACACGCCTTGTCACATAACGCGTTCTCCCTCCCTCCCTCGTCCAACGCAGCATGAACACCAAGCACACAGCGCAAGCATCCACCACAGAAGACTTTCCCCACATTCCCTTCACTCTCTCCCCATTCTTTCACCCCCCCTCCCCTCCCCTCGTTCAGTCCTAGCCCACTTTAGCTGCTTACTTTGATACAAGGGTGTGAGTTGACGAAAGTCGTTTGCTGGCCAGCAACGTCCGTCCAAGTCCGTCAGTCGACAGAGCACTGAAGAATCCATCCACATCGAATCCGACCAGATCCTTCGCAGAAGCAACTTCCGCGTCGTTTCTCAGCACCACGTTGCCGCTGTCCTCCGCTAGCTTTATCCCCGATAGGAGGCCTTTCGCGTCGCTAGATCCCTTAACGAACGCGTAGACCTCGTCCTCTGTCGACATTCTCGAAGCAAACGGCTTTGCAATTTCTGGAGACCCTGATGCTGACGGAGCTGCTGCAGAAATCCCGCCGTCGTTCGCGGAGACCTCTGGCTGATGCTTCGGCCACGTGGACGCGTCCCGAGCGCGTTCCGCACCTGGCGCTCGTTGCGATAGATCCTGCGAAACCGCACAGGCTCGGAATTTCGAAGAAACTGCCGGATTCGAGTAGGCGGCTGATTCCGAAAAAACGGCAGGAGAACCGTTTGCTAATGAGTTAAATCTGACGGCCCGGCAGGTCCCTGTAGGGCCCTGTTCACGGTAGCTATGGTCGATCGAATCGCGAGAAACAGATGGTAGAATAATGCTAATCGATGGAGCTACGGAATCGGCGCGGCCGCTAAGGGAGGGACAGCACGGCAGGATAGAACCGGAGTGAGAGAGAGCGGAAGGACGTGCAATAGGTTGGAGCGTGAAGCGTAGATTGCGGAAGACTGGGCTTGATAGAGCGACACGTGGTAGGGAAAGGAGCCTTAGAGGCAACAAGAGGCTAAGGGACATGCCTACAGGTAAACCCCTGCAACACGAATCAGCAACAATGCTACCTTACTAGTAGCTTGATACTAATCTACTACTAGTAGCTTGATACTAACCTACTACTACTAGCTTGATACTGACAGGTCTCAGGGCGCAATACAACAAGGATACAGACACACAAGAAGGGTTATCATGGTAGGAGGTGTAGGATTTTGGAGGGAAGGCGCAACAGTAATAACCGACATGCCATAACCCTAATCAGCTGAAGCAAGAGGAGCAGTGAGGCCAAGTGATGAGGGAGCAAGGTCTTTGAAAAAAGGTGTGCTGTCATTTGGCGATTCGATTTTCTGGACGAATCGACACTGGTTACCACACAAATCTTCCAAGACTTCCCAGAGAACCGAACAATCTGGAACCTCAGCGAAGAATTTCGTAGATCTTCTGCGAAAACTTGAGAACTCATCTGGTGCCAGTCGTTATGGTGCCGTACAGTATCGACGTTCCCATCTGCAAGTTGCTTTCTGTACTCATCGTTCCTTTCCATCAACTCATCCGCGGCAGCAGGTGAGTCCGAAACTAGGTATAGTAATGCGGTTTTCCGTTAATTAATTACTCATTACTACCTGTTTACGTCAAGGTAATACGCTCAAAAGTTTTTGCACTGACAAGCTGCTAGCGCACTTTTCGGCACACCTGTTGTTCGAACGCAGCCATCTTTCTGTGACAACGACAGTCTAGCATCGCGAGGTTCACTATTCCAATCCCCGGACAGCAAGCTCTTCGATTCTATAAGTAGGCTCCTCGTTCAGTCTTCTTGCGGAACAGACTCGCGGACGCTCGTTGAAGGGTTTTCACGCAAGCGAGCCCGCTCCCGCCGGCGTCCGTCACTGCATCTCGCGTTCGCTTCGTCGCACAGCCGCTCGTCGCCTGTAGCAAATCGCCATGGACGTCGAGAGGCTTCTGTTTGCGGGAACGAGCATCAACAAAAAGCGTTTCAAGAAGGACATCGACGTGTTCAAGGTGCTTCCCGCTAACAGTAGCTGCGGTGCAACTTTTGAGGCGCCTCAAAAGTAGTAAAACAACGGCTCGTTCAAGGTGCTCCGTTAATAGTAGCTGCGATGCGACTTTTGCGGCGCCTCAAAAATATAAAAACAACGACTCGTTCAAGGTGCTCCTCGTCACAGTAGCCGTGCTCTTCTAGAAGGTGCACCCGGTATGGCTTTCTAGGTTTCCCAAAAACGCTTCAGCGGTAGCCGTTTTGGCGTTTCTAGAAATCCACGCGTCGTCAGCCGTCTACTGGGGCCACTGATGCGCTGCGCTGGTCACTTATGAATGCTTGGCGTTGCTTCAGTGGACGCGAGTCACACTAAGGGTTTCGGGCTTTACCAGGCGAGGTTTTCGGGGTTTACCAGGTTTTCGTTTTTTCTTGCTTAATTCTGGATTCTGGGTTTCCTTCTCCTCCAATGCTTGCAGGTGCGTGAGCAGACGGCAACGGTAGGAGCAGCAGCTTCTCAAACAGAGATTGACGGTTCAGATCGACCGGATGGTGGAGCGTCCGGCGCTTCTGGTGGAGAAGAATTGGAGAAGAAAATGGACCCCGTTGAAGTGAGTGACTGTTGATTTGAATCTTCTCTCGACCCCTCGGCGTTTTCTCTGAGAGGTTTGGTGTCTCGATTTCATCACACAGCTTTCGTGATTTGTTTTCGGACGAACTATGAGCGAAGCTTTCATGCTTAATCCCAAGATTCGCTTTCTTCCTTTCCACCCCTTTCTCTTCCCCCACCCACTCCCACCCCTTTTACCCCCCCCCATCTCAACCAACCCCTACCTAAACCCCTTCCTGACTTCCCTTCTCCTCCCTTACCCCCGTGGTCGCCACGTGGCAGCATGCAGCAGTGTTGCGCAAGCGCCATCGCATCCACGTGTCCAGCCACCTGGTGACGGCTCCCCTCGAGTCCTTCCAAGAACTGGCCGACAAGTGAGTGGCTGGCAGGAAGGTGAGTGGCTGGCAGGAAGGTGAGTGGGTGACGTGACAGGCAAGTGAGTGGGCGGCAGACAAGTGAGTAGGTGCTTCTGCTGCTGCTGCTCAAGTTTAAGACGTCCCAAAACCCACCACTCCCCATCCCATCCCACCCACCAGGTACAACTGTCGCCGGCGCATAGTGCGCAATCTGCAGGAGGTGGGGTTCGAGCACCCCACAGCCATTCAGAGGCAACTGTTGCTGTTGGCGCTCTCATATCGGCCTCTCACGAACCCGCCTTATCCCTAATCATCCCCACCAGGTACAACTGCCGCCGGCGCTTACTGCGCAATCTGCAGGAGATGGGGCTCGAGCACCCCACTCCAATCCAGAGGCAGGCCGTGCCGCTGCTTCTGCTCACATATCTAAGGCCTCTCACATCTCTTCCCCATCCCACCCACCAGGTACAACTGCCGCCGGCGCTTACTGCGCAATCTGCAGGAGATGGGGTTTGAGCACCCCACGGCCATTCAGAGGCAGGTGGTGCCGCTGCTGCTGCAGGGGCGAGAGTGCTTCGCCTGTGCGCCCACGGGGTCGGGCAAGACTGTCGCCTTTCTGCTTCCCATCGTCATGGCTCTCAAGGTGAGCTGCGCTGTGAGAATGCGCGCGAGTGCTTTGCCTGTGCTTCTCCTGTGCTTCTCCTGTGTTTCGCCTGTGCTTCTCCTGTGCTTCGCCTGTGCTTCTCCTGTGCTTCGCCTGTGCTTCTCCTGTGCTTCTCCTGTGGTTCGCCTGTGCTTCTCCTGTGCTTCGTCCTCGAAGACCGTTGCTTTGCTTCTTCCCATCGTCATGGCTCTAAAGGTGAGCTTTGTGGGTTTTAGGTGTGCCTGTGGGCTCCAGGTGAGCTGCTTTTTGTATCTGTGCACTCAAAGTGAACTGCCTTTCCCATTTAAACCTCCAACTTCCTCCTCCCCCCTCCAGCTCCCCTCCCGATCCGCGTTCCCTCTGCCAGTCGCACTTCCCGTACGGCGTATGCCATCAGAGCAGTAATCCTGGTGCCGACACGCGAGCTGGCAGGCACTGCAGATATCGCGGGTGCTGAAGCAGCTGGCAGGAGGCACGAGGCACGAGGCTGAGATCACGGCTTCTCACCAAGCCCACCACTGGCTCCCCGCTCCACTCCCCCCTCCCCTCCTCCTCCCCCCCCCCCCCCGGCCACCAGTCCCACTCCCCTGAGGCCATCAGAGCAGTGGTCCTGGTGCCGACACGGGAGTTAGCGCTGCAGATATCGCGGGCTCTGAAGCAGCTGGCAGCGGGCACGAAGCTGAGGGCGCGGCTGCTGACCAAGGCCACTGCCGGCTGCGTGGAGCTCAAAGGGGCGGCATGCGATGTGCTCATCTCCACTCCTCTGAGGCTCGCTCACCTCGTGACTGAGAAGAAAGTGGACCTGAGTCGGTGAGTGGCTGTGACTGGGTGTGTGACTGACTGTGTGTGAGTGGGTGTGACTGGGTGTGTGACCCACTGTGTGTGAGTGGCTGTGACTGGGTGTGTGACTGACTGTGTGTGAGTGGGTGTGACTGGGTGTGTGACCCACTGTGTGTGAGTGGCTGTGACTGGGTGTGTGACTGACTGTGTGTGAGTGGCTGTGACTGGGTGTGTGACTGACTGTGTGTGAGTGGCTGTGACTGGGTGTGTGACCCACTGTGTGTGAGTGGCTGTGACTGGGTGTGTGACTGTGTGTGGTGTGAGTGGGTGTGGTTTGGTCACGAAGCTGAGAGTGCAGCTGCTGACCAAGGCGACTGCTGGCTGCGTGGAGCTCAAAGGGGCGGCCTGCGATGTTCTCATCTCCACTCCCCTTCGCCTGGCACACCTGGTGGCGGAAGGAAAAGTTAACCTGAGCCGGTGAGTGAATCCTCGCACTGGCACGACGCAACTGGCAGTGAGGGCGCGGCTGCTGACCAAGGCCACTGCAGGCTGTGTGGAGCTCAAAGGGGCGGCATGCGATGTCCTCATCTCCACTCCTCTGAGGCTCGCGCATTTAAAATGGGGTAGGGGGCAGACAAGCTGTTTGAAATGGGGTAGGGGGCAGACAAGCTGTTTGAAATGGGGTAGGGGGCAGACAAGCTGTTTGAAATGGGGTAGGGGGCAGACAAGCTGTTTGAAATGGGGTAGGGGGCAGACAAGCTGTTTGAAATGGGGTAGGGGGCGGACAAGCTGTTTGAAATGGGGTAGGGGGCGGACAAGCTGTTTGAAATGGGGTAGGGGGCAGACAAGCTGTTTGAAATGGGGTAGGGGGCAGACAAGCTGTTTGAAATGGGGTAGGGGGCAGACAAGCTGTTTGAAATGGGGTAGGGGGCAGACAAGCTGTTTGAAATGGGGTAGGGGGCAGACAAGCTGTTTGAAATGGGGTAGGGGGCAGACAAGCTGTTTGAAATGGGGTAGGGGGCAGACAAGCTGTTTGAAATGGGGTAGGGGGCAGACAAGCTGTTTGAAATGGGGTAGGGGGCAGACAAGCTGTTTGAAATGGGGTAGGGGGCAGACAAGCTGTTTGAAATGGGGTAGGGGGCAGACAAGCTGTTTGAAATGGGGTAGGGGGCAGACAAGCTGTTTGAAATGGGGTAGGGGGCAGACAAGCTGTTTGAAATGGGGTAGGGGGCAGACAAGCTGTTTGAAATGGGGTAGGGGGCAGACAAGCTGTTTGAAATGGGGTAGGGGACAGACAAGCTGTTTGAAATGGGGTAGGGGGCAGACAAGCTGTTTGAAATGGGTTAGGGGGCAGACAAGCTGTTTGAAATGGGGTAGGGGGCGGACAAGCTGTTTGAAATGGGGTAGGGGGCAGACAAGCTGTTTGAAATGGGGTAGGGGGCAGACAAGCTGTTTGAAATGGGGTAGGGGGCAGACAAGCTGTTTGAAATGGGGTAGGGGGCAGACAAGCTGTTTGAAATGGGGTAGGGGGCAGACAAGCTGTTTGAAATGGGGTAGGGGGCAGACAAGCTGTTTGAAATGGGGTAGGGGGCAGACAAGCTGTTCGAAATGGGGTAGGGGGCAGACAAGCTGTTTGAAATGGGGTAGGGGGCAGACAAGCTGTTTGAAATGGGGTAGGGGGCAGACAAGCTGTTTGAAATGGGGTAGGGGGCAGACAAGCTGTTTGAAATGGGGTAGGGGGCAGACAAGCTGTTTGAAATGGGGTAGGGGGCGGACAAGCTGTTTGAAATGGGGTAGGGGGCGGACAAGCTGTTTGAAATGGGGTAGGGGGCAGACAAGCTGTTTGAAATGGGGTAGGGGGCAGACAAGCTGTTGTGGAGCAGAGCAGATGGACGGGACGGGGTCGTGGCGGCATGTGTCCCCCGCCACTGTTGCCGTGATTCTCACTCCGTGTCTGCTTTCCCCCACCCACCGAGTGCAGCATCTGGTGCTGGACGAGGCGGACAAGCTCTTGAGATGGGCTTCGTGGAGCAGAGCAGATCAACCCTTCACTCACTCCACCCCTCGCAAACCCGTTCCTTTCCCCCCCCCCACAGAGTGCAGCACCTGGTGCTGGACGGAGCAGACAAGCTGTTTGAGATGGGCTTCGTGGAGCAGATTGACGGGGTCGTGGCGGCCTGCACGCTGCCCGCCCGCATCCTCACCCTCACTCCGTGCCTTCTCCTCGTTCCCTTCCACATGCACTCCCCTCCCCACAGAGTGCAGCACCTAGTTCTGGATGAGGCGGACAAGCTCTTTGAGATGGGCTTCGTGGAGCAGATCGACGGGGTCGTGGCGGCATGCTCCCTGCCCGCCCTCACGCGCTCCCTCTTCTCTGCCACGCTGCCTGAAGCCGTTGAGCAGCTGGCACGATCAGTCATGCATGATCCTGTGCGGATCGTTGTTGGGGACAGGTGAGGCTTCTGACCTTGCCGAGTTAAGCCACTCGTTTGCAGCCCTCCCGCCCATCCTCCCCTCACGCGCACCCTCTTCTCCGCCACGCTGCCTGAAGCAGTGGAGCAGCTGGCGCGATCAGTCATGCATGACCCCGTGCGGATCGTTGTTGGGGACAGGTGAGGTTCTAGGGACAGGTACGCCACGCCTTGGGTGTATCTGCTGCAGTCATTTGCTTTCAAGCGCTGCTCCCTGCCCACTGCTTCCTACCCCCTGCCCACTGTTCCCTGCCCCCTGCTCACTGCTCCCTGCCCGCCCTCACGCGCACCCTCTTCTCCGCCACGTTGCTTGAAGGAAGCACTTGAGCAGTCGGCACGGTCTGTCATGCATGACCCCGTGCAGATCGCTGATGGGGACAGGTGAGGCTTGGGGCACGCACGTTGCAGGAGCGCAGCAGCAGAAACCGTGCAGCAGAAGCTGGTGTTGGTGGGCACGGAGGAGGGCAAGCTGCTGACTCCTGAGTCGTCAAGTGCCTCTCCCTATACTTACTCTCACACTCGCCACAGGAACGCGGCAGCGGAGACGGTGCAGCAGAAGCTGGTATTTGTGGGCACGGAGGAGGGCAAGCTGCCTTGTGAGTCAACTTGAGAGACCCATAACTATGCAATTCTTTCTCATCTACTCGGGCCACATTGCAGGAACGCGGCAGCAGAGACGGTGCAGCAGAAGCTGGTATTTGTGGGCACGGAGGAGGGAAAGCTGCTGGCGATGCGGCAGCTGCTGCAGCAGGGGGTGCGGCCGCCGGTGCTCATCTTCGTGCAGAGCAAGGAGCGCGCCCAGCAGCTCTTCTCCGAGCTCTCTTTCGATGGACTCAATGTTGACGTCATCCACGCTGATCGATCCGTGGCTCAGGTGAGGACTGGTGAAGTTCAGACCCGGTGAAGGTCGTATCTGTGATGCAGGTGAGACCCACCTACCCCAGCAGCTCCTCTCGGAGCTCTCCTTCCACGGGCTCAATGTGGACGCCAGCCATGCTGACAGCTCCGTGGCGCTTGTGAGGGATCAGGGAATTGTGCGATCGGGCGATGGTGGAGTTATTTTTCTGTCTGCCCTGCACCGCACATTCACGGAGACAGATCCGTGGCTCTCCTTTGATGGGCTCAACGTGGATGTCATTCACGCAGACAGATCCGTGGCTCAAGTAAGGGATCAGGGAATTGTGCGATCTGGTTTTGAGGCGCCTCAAAACTAGCCTCAAGTAAGGGATCAGGGAACGATCGGGCGATCGGGCGATGGTGGAGTCCGTGGTGCAGTTGGGATGGTGGACCGAGGTTAATCAACCTGGGCATTAACGATTTGCAGCAGCATTCTCTCCCTTCCTACCACATGAGGCGAGGCGAGGCATGGACATTGCAGGGGTGAATGTGGTGGTCATCGTTCTGGTTCCTCATGGCAACGGAACACATTCACCCCTGCACGAGTTTGTGGGGTGACCTGATGGGATATGTTTCGAGTTTGTGAGGTGACGCTAGAGATTGACACCCTCTCCTCCCTCTGCCCTCCTCCCTCCCTCCTCCCTCTTACTTTCCCCTTTTCTCTTCCCCCCTATGCGTGTCTCTTCCAGATGGAACAGGTGGTGGACTCGTTCCGGGAGGGCAAGATCTGGTTCCTCATTGCAACGGACCTCGTGGGGTTATGAGGTGACTCTGAAGCCCTGTTCTCTCTCCTCCCCTTTTCCCTGCTCTTCCCGCCTGTCCGTTCCCTCCGCGTGCCCTTTCGCAGAGGGAGCAGGTGGTGGACTCGTTCTTGAGACGTCTCAAAAACACCCTCACTTCACGTGCCTTTTCCCTGCTCTTCCCGCCCATCCGTTCCCTCCGCGTGCCCGCCCCTTTCGCAGAGGGAGCAGGTGGTGGACTTGTTCCGAGAGGGCAAGATCTGGTTCCTCATTGCAACGGACCTCATGGGACGGGGCATGGACATCGCAGGGGTGAATGTGGTGGTGAACTATGACTGCCCGCAGACCACCGCTGCTTACATCCACAGGATAGGTGCGCCTTGTGGTTGCATGCTTGCTTGCATGCTTCGCTCAGTGAGTTGTGACTGTCCGCATACCACTGCAGCGTACATTCACAGGATAGGTGCGCCTAGTGAATGTGATGGCCACAGTCAGCCATGAAGCTTCTCTCACATCTTCCTTCTCACTCCCTCTCATGCTCCACAGGTCGCAGTGGCAGAGCCGGGCGGCCCGGCGAGGCAGTGACATTCTACACAGAGGAGGATGAGCCGAACCTGAGAGCCATAGCCAATGTGATGGTGCAATCAGGCACTGAGGTGCCGGCGTGGATGAAGTCTTTGCCTAAGAAGAGGCTGCGCAAGCACAGAGACGGAGAGAAGTCGGTTGCTTTGCCTCCCAAGCGAGCTCCGATTTCGACGCACCCCGCTGCGCAGGCTAAAGGGGTGAAGCGCCGAAAAGTAGCAGAAAGTAAAAGCGTTCAGTCGTAGTAGAGAGTAGTTATTAGATTTTCATGGATCAGTATGCAAAATGTTGGATTACATAAAATTCACACATATTGACACGTTTTGGATGTGACTAAATGTTTCGGTTATAACACCCCAGGTATTTCCCTTAGGGCCCAGTGTCGCTTAACGAAACACAAACAAGCGGATGTGGAAAAACCTGATCTACAGTGTGAGAAAGCAGTTGATACCATCAAGAAATGTGAGGTGAGGAGGAGGGGAGATGACTGCTCGCTGGATCCAGTAATCACTGCTCCACGTCATTGACTCAACGCTGAGATTCAGCCAAAGCTGAAATGCGCTTCGTTCCGAGGCTTGTGGAGGCTGGTTCTTGGTCAGGGTTGTGCCATGCTGGCTCTCAACTTTTTCTGTCAATTAGGCTCGGGTATTTGCTTTTGACGTGCCTTCACAACCTTTTCCTCGTGTGAGATTTTCTTCACGTGGAGGCATGAGTGCAACCTTGCGCTGTCAATAGGGCACGGCAAAACACACGGATTGTTTGGCATTCCGCGGTTCGGACAGCAGGATCTGTCCGTCCGCTCAACAAGAATGCCTGCGGCTGTCTGTATCCATCATGTGCACCCTCGGCTTTGTGCGGAGGAGAATGCCAACAGCGGTGCATGAGAGGAGACAATCCAGCGTTGCGCGGCAGGATAGCGGGCTGGATAGAGCCAATCATCTTTGAGCGCTTCGTTGACAGCCAGATGCGGAAATGGAATGGACAAAGCACAACATGGATTCATGGCCGCACAGATAACTGGAGGTTGGATTCTCTTCAACGAGAAAGATTTCTGAGAACTAAAAAAGTGCCTGAGCTGACGACGCTTTGCAGCGGGAATTTCTGGGTTCGATTCTGCGGCCTGTGTTGGTTTGGTTGGTGAAGAGGGTCAGCAAAACTTCGATGTTTGTCGCAGCAGAAAATGGGTGGGTGGTCGAGTTGAGCACAAGGGAAGACGGGCAGATAACGACATTCGGCGAAATCTTGAGAGTTGTTCAGCTCCGTTTTGGTTGCACTGTCAAGAAGCGGCGAGAGCCACGGAAAGGTGCAAAAAAAAGGCGGTGGCAACGGAGCGCAAAAGGCAGGACACTGTGATTGGCTACGGTAGTCCCAAGTCGTCAACTGATGCAGGCAGACTCAATCCACACGTCCAGACTAGAAATTTTAATCAAAGAATGCCAACATTCCTTCCTGCCCGCGGACTTCCTCCCATCCCAGCCTCCCGGGCCTCGAGAACTCCCTCCATCTCCCTCCAGCTTCTCTTCCATCCAGCTCGTGACTGTTATATCCTCGACGAAGTGATGCTAACTTAGTTTACACAACGTCGAGTTTCACACGTTCTTCATATCTGCTGCTGTTGGCAAATCTTCTCAGTTCATTTACTAGAGGCCTGCTTGGTGACACGTCGACGTACAGCAGGCGGTAATAGGCATGGCCAGGGCCGCTGAACTCTATTTCCGAGTTGGGCGACGGGGGGTGTGGTTCGGGGAGGATATCGCGTGGTTCCGCGCGGAAGTGCTGTCAGAGTCGATACCCAGTGACGCGGGGTGAACGGATTAAGGATTGACGGCAGAGACGGTTGCTTCCATTTCCTTTTTTGGTGTGTGGAAAAAGCGTGCGGTAGTGTGCGAAGCAAAGAGTGCTGCGAGTTAACGTCGGAGAGTCGGGAATATTAGTTTCTTGAGTGAAGGTTCGTGGATCTCGAAGCGTGTGAGTGAGACCGTTCGAGACGAGGATACGTTTCTCAACTTAACGGCCAGACATTCGACGCGGATTTAAATATCTGTTGTCTAGTATCCGCGTTCAAGTTCCACTGTTCGGCTCGGCTCATTCAGCAGCAACGGTTCACTTCTTCTTTGTTGGCGTCCGTTCTTCTCAAGCGCCTTAAGATTAGTTTCCGACCGTCTTATTCGGAAGCAAACGGTTCATTCCTTCCGTCGACGGGTTTTCCTGCTGATTTACCACGAAGAGATTGAATTTAGTCGTTCGGATTTCTTACAGCAGCTGAGGCAAAAGGAATTCGACTTGGGAAAATCCGTCTTGTAACCTTTCTTTCGCGAACATCGTCGAGATGGAGTTCGACGGTTCCGACATGATGGCTGGGTTCGGGGTTGGGCCGGGGATGGTCTCTGCGAGCAGGCGGCGGAACTGGGCCAATCAGGGATCATCTTTGGGAGGCATGAGGCAGTTCGACGCTTTTCCAGCGCCGTGGGAAACGGGACTTCTCGGGGGGTCACACTTGGCTGCAGCTGCGGCTTCCGAAGCTGCGCTGGCGGCGAGCGCAGCGCTTTCCGGCTCTGCGCTAGCAGCGAGTCTTTCAGCTGCTGCGTTCTCGCCGGCGGGTGTTGCTCCCGTTAACGTTAACGGCTCGATTCTTACCGGTCACGGCGTTTCTGCCGGCCTGCCGGCTCGCTTATGTGTCGGTAGCTCCGACGGAAGGACGCCGCCGATTCTGCCGCCGGCGGCGCCGGCCATACCGTCGCAATTGTTACTGCCCCATCAGCACATGCCCGTAATTCCCGGAATGACGCAGATGTTGTCCAGCAGCAGCGCGGCCGGCGCCGCGATTGCCGGAGCCTCATCCTCATCAGCTGCATCCGCAACAGCAGCCACAGCAGCAGGAGGGGGAGGAGCTCGCGCCGCGCCGCACCTCCCGCCGCCGCCGCCGCCTCCGCCCGCGGCGCACACGCTGGCGCCGTTTCTGAGCAAGACGTACGAGCTGGTGGACGACGCGGCGACGGACGGCGTGGTGGCGTGGACGGGCAGCGGCGTGAGCTTCGTGGTGTGGCAGCCCGCGGAGTTCGCGCGGGATCTTCTGCCGCTCTACTTCAAGCACAGCAACTTCTCCAGCTTCGTGCGCCAACTCAACACCTACGTGCGTGGTGGGCACCGTTACCGTGACCGACTCTCCTCCCTTCCCTATGCATGCTGATGATGATGGCGATGATGATGATGATGATGATCCGGCTGTCGTCACTCCCCTTCCATGATGCCCTTTCGCAATTGTGCTCGATCCTCGTTTGGTTCGCGTTTGTTCCGGTGCTCCTTCTCTCCCACGGAGTGCTTGATGACTGAGCGACGCCGCTTCTCCAGCTTCGTGCGCCAACAAAACACCTACGCGCGTGCGGGTGCCACCCAGTAGGCACCGTTACCGTGACCGACTCCTCCCCTCCCTGCCCTCCCGCGTTTGGCCCTTTTTTCCTCTCTCGGTGCTTGACGAAGGAGGTTTGAACAGCTCGCCCCGCTCGCCGTCGTCGCAATGCGAATGAAACCTGAGAGAATTGCGCCGGCCGCACGAATTTCGCCCGCCGCGGCGCCGCAGCTTCTCCGCGAAAGTCGTCGCAGGCTCCCGCTGCGGAAACTTAGCGGCTAGAAATTCCGAGGCCCCCGCGGGCCGGCTGTTCCGCCAAGCTCCCGCCTCCGCGAATGTCTGAGTGGCACTCAACCGAGGCGCATCGCGCGCGTCGTGAGCCATGGCGCACGATGATTAAGCCACTTACTTTCTGCCGATGCGCGCGGAAATTCGTGAATCTCCCTCCCCCCAGCGCCCCTCCCCTTCCCCCCCGCCCCTCTCCCCCGCAGCAATCCGCCAACCCCCGTATCTTATGAAGCGTTCTTAATGCTCCCCCTCTGCTCCGCGTGATTCCCGCTCTTCCACCCAACAGGGCTTCCGCAAAGTGGACCCAGACCGCTGGGAGTTCGCTAATGAGTGCTTCGTTAGAGGCAAACCGCAGCTGCTGCACTCGATACACCGCCGCAAGGCCTCCACTTTCGGAAACGGAAACGGGAATGGTAACGGTAACGGAAATGGTAGCGGAAACGGAAACGGTAACGGAACGTTACCGGGTTCTGCTGCTGCCATAGCCGCTTCGCTTCACCCCGTCCCAGATCTACCTCCCCCAGTTGCCGCTGCCACCATTCTCCCGCATCTCGCTCCGCCTCCGCCACCCTCCTCCGCCTATGCCGCTGCCTCTGCTGCCTCGCCCGCCGCCGCCGCCGCCGCCGCCGCTTCCGCTGCTGCGTCTGCCTCGTTCCTAGCACGGCGGTACCAGCAGCAGCAGCAGCTGGTGGGTGACGTGGACATGTTGGGTGACGTCAGAAGAGGGATGATTTCCGCCGGTACAGTGTTTGACGAAAACGCTGTAGTCAACGCGGTCAACGGGGTGAACAGGGTCAATGGAGTAACCGGGGTCAACGCGGTCAACGTGGTCAACGGAGTCAACGGCATGAGGGCGCTGAATGGCATGTACGGAGCCCAAGCCCATCCCTCCAACGGAGTGAGTCCCCTCATTGGGCTGGATGCAATCAAGGCGGCGAGCAGTCACTCTGTGGTGGGGAACACAAGTGCTGCTGCTGTGTCTGCGTTGACTGGGTTGACTGGTTTGACTGGAGTGGCTGGAGTGGCTGGGGTGACTGGGTTGGCTGCTGCCGTGCCTGGTGGATTTGCTGCTACAGCTGAAATGGCTGCTACAGCTGGCTTGGCTGCAAGCGGGATGGCTGGGATGGCTGCTACAGCTGCGATGACTGGACTGACTGGGATGACTGGATTGACTGGATTGACTGGATTGACCGGTACTTTGACTGCTGGTGGAATGGCCGCCACAGCTGGCATGGCTGCTACAGCCGCTACAGCCGGAAGCATAGCTCCGTACGTTGCGCCCAGTCGCATGCTCGACGCGGTCGCGCGCGGAATGGGGCTGGGAGCGCCGGGGGCGGCGGGGAGCAACGCGGTGGAGCTGGGCGCGTTCGGGTTGTCGGAAGAGCTTAGCCAACTGCGGGGAGGGTTGGACAGGGGCGCGCTGCTGCGCCACCAGCGTTCCGCCGCTGCTGCGTGCGCGGGAGCGGGCGCGGGAGCAGGAGCGGAGCCGGCGGGGCTGGGAGCGCCGGGGGCGGCGGGGAACACGGTTGAGCTAGGCGCGTTCGGGCTGTCGGAGGAGCTGAGCCAACTGCGGCGCGACCGCGGGGTGTTGATGCGCGAGCTGCTGCGCTCGCGGCAGCAGGCGGCGGCGAGCGCGGAGAAGCTTGCGCTGCTGGAGGCGAACATGGCGGCGCAGGAGCAGCGCCAGGCGCACATGACGGCGTTTCTCGCGCACGCGCTCAACAACCCCGCGTTCCTTGGGGGAATCGCGCAGCTGCAGGGGCAGCACGCGCTGCTGCGCGCCAGCCGCGACAGCAGCAGCAGCGGAAGCGGGAGCGCGGGGAACGGCGGACTCGGCGGAATCGGCGGAATCGGGGGAATCGGCGGGAATAACGGGATCGGGGGGATCGGGGGAAGCGGCGGAAACGGGGCAGGCGCGGGGAAGGGGAGTCCGAAGAGGAGCAGTATCAGCCCGAGCGGGAGCAGCAGCAGCGGGCGGGGGAGTAGGAGTGGGAGCAGGAGCGGGCTTGATGTGAGTGTGAATGGCAGTTCCAGTCACGGGGGGTCTTGTATTGGTGCAGGGGGTGGAGGAGGGAGTCCAGAGTGGTTGAAAGCGGTTACCGCTGGGATGGGCGCGGCTGGTCTCGGTGCCCCTGGCTTTGCTGCTGCTGCTGCCGCCGCTGCCGCGGCTGCTGCCGCTTCTACTGCGGTTGGGATGGATGTGGATGGGTGCACGGACCTGGGCAACACTCACAAGCGTGGGTTTGACAGTGACAACACGGGATTCCCCCAAAACGGTATGGGAGGCGCTGCAGGCATGGCAATGGGCATGAATGCTCGCAAGGGGATTCGAGCCATGGAGGATAAGGGAGGGATGGGAGAGGGGGAAGAATTGGGGGCATTGAAAGGAATCGGGGGAATGGGGGACAGTGTGGGTGCACGTGGTGCGAGAGTGAACCTGTTTTCCCCGCATGGCAGCAAGGAGCAGGTAGCAGCAGGAGGAGCAGGAGGAGGAGCAGGAGGAGGAGCAGCAGGGGGAGCAGGGGGGGGGGTGTATTTCGTGAGTGGGGCGGGCAACATGGGCATGCACTCACAAATCTTTTTCAAGCGCCACAAGAACAGCAGTGGCACTAGTGCCGGTGCCAGCACTGGTGTTGCTGGTGCTGCCGGTGGTGGTGGGGAGGAGGGGACTGCGTTTGGCAGTGGAAGCAGCAGCATGGGTGCTGCTTCTGCATTTGACCATGGTAGTGCGGAACCTTCGAAGAGCTTTCTTCCCGGGCTTTCTGGCAACGACCTTCATCACCTCTTCCCACCCCCTGCTGCTTCTGGTAAAGCTGCAGCTGCTGCTGTAGCTGCAACTGCTGCTGCATCTGCCTCTGCTGCCGCCGCTGAGAAGGCAGCTGCCAACAGCAACAACCTGAGCACTCAGCAGCAGCAGGCACAGCAGCAGCAAGAACAGGGCAACCCGACTCACAATCCCGAGGCCGCTTATAACGAGTACGGGCTCAGCGAGCCGCTGGCCAACCCGTTCGGCCGCCCGCCGCCGCCCGGGTTCACAATGGAGCGGTTTGACGTGCTGGGCGGGCAGCTTGTGTCGTATCTGACCCCCATGGGCGCTGCTGCTGCCAGTGCTGCCGTGGCTGCCGCTTCAGGCCCTCTTGGGAGTTCCCTTGGGGGTCCTCTTGGGGAAACCCTTGGGGGATCCCTCACACGGGGGCTTGCAGGGCAGCTTGGGGGGCCCCTTACAAGGCAGCTTACAGGCTCCTCCCTTGGTGGGCCAAGTGCGGAGCAGCTTGCAGGGGCTTTTGCAGGGGCGTTTGGAGGGGCGGCTGGAGCAGAAGGGGTGTACGATAGCGTGTTTGGGGAGGCTCTCGGTGGGATTCGGAACTTGGATGGCAATGGTGCGGGCCTGAGCGCTGGTGGTATTTGGGGGGGATTTGAGGGGGACCAGAGAATGGGTGGAGCAGAGAAGATGTATGAGCGGATGTTTGGGGGCGGTGCTACTGCTGCTGGTGGTGCAGCTGATATAATCACCAGAGGGGCGGCAGCAGCTGCAGCAGCTGCAGCGGCGAGAAGGGAGCAGTTGCAGCAGCTGCAGGTGCAGCAGCAGAGGGAGGAGCAGCAGCAGCTGCAGCGGCTTCTGTTGCTGCAGCAGCAGGAGGAACAGCTTTTGCTGCTGGAGCAGGAACGGCTCGGGCGTGGGCTTGTTCCTGCCTCTGCAGCCGCATCAGCAATGGCAGCAGCAGGATCAGCAACAACAGGACCAGCAGCGGCAACAGTGGCAGCAACAGCAGCAGCAACGGCGGCAGCAACTGCAGCAGCAGCAAGAACAGCAATTTCTGAGGAACTAAGAGCAGCAGAGATGCGAGCAGCAGACGCAGCAGCTCAGGTAGCAGCAGCAGCAGCAGCAGCCTCTGGTGCTGCCAGTGCAACGAGGGCAGCTGCAGATTCAGCAGCAAGCAGAGCAGCAGTGGCTCCGGCTGTAGCAGCAACGAGTCCAGTTGTAGCAACAGCAGCAGCATTGGCCCATTTGAGGGCAGCAGAGTTGACCTCATTGGAAATGAGAGCAGCACAGCTAAGAGCAGCAGAGTTAAGAGCCGCAGAGTTAAGAGCCGCAGAGCTAAGAGCTGCGGCAGTGGCAGCTGCTTCTGCTTCTGCTGCTGGATCTGGATCCTCCCTTGTGCGAACTGTACCTGTCCTTGCAGCAACCAATGCAGCATCCAGCGTGCCTGGCCTAGCTGCATCACTAGCAGCATCAAACGTCCCTACCCTAGCAGCATCAAGCGTCCCTACCCTAGCAGCATCAAGCGTCCCTACCCTGGCTGCATCACTGCCAGCTTCACTGGCAGCATCAAATGCAGCAGTTGCTTCAGCAGCAGCAGCAGCAGCAGTGGGGACAGGCATGGGGGCAACAGCAGCGCTGGCAGGAGGTCTCCTTGGGGGGACCGCTGCCATTGGTTTGACAGGAGGAAGTTCGGCAGGAGGAGGTTTGGGAGGAGCAGCGTCAGGCTTGGCAAGTGGCTTATCTGGGGCACGAAGCCTAGGTGGGTCTGCATCTCTGTCCCTGCTATCCCCTCCTGGGTTGCCACCGCTCGTGCCACCCGTGCTGCCATCAACAGCAGCAGCAGCAGCAGCAGCAGGAGCAGCAGCAGCAGCATCAGGATCTGTGCCCGCTGCTGCTGCTCTGTCTGCTGCTGCAGCTGCGTTTTCCTCCCCTTTAATGGGTACAGGACCCGCACTCACTACCGCTGCTTCTGCCGCTGCTTCTGCTGCTTTTGAGGCGCCTGTAATGGGAACGTCAGGAGCAGCATTCACTGCAACGGCTGCTGCAGCAGCACTGGCGTCAGCTGGTGTTCCCACCTGCCACATTCCCCTCCCCCTGCCCGTGCCCCTGCCCCTGCCCCTGCCAATCGCACGCCCGCCTGCCTCCCTTCCCCCTCCTCTCTCCAACTCTTTCCCTCTTTTTGACTCCTCTCCTCTCTCACGCTCCTCCCCTCTCTCCGTCTCTTTCCCTCTCTCTCACGCCACCCCCCTCTCTCGCTCCTCTCCTCTCTCAGACTCACACTCTGCTCCTATCTCACTGTCAGCCTCAGCAGCGGCAGTGGCAACAGTGGCAGCGGCGGCAGCAGCAGCAGCATCAGCAGGAGTCACATCAGCCTCGGGGGGGAAACCGAGCCTTACCTCTTCCTTAGCGCCAAATCTCCCCGCCTCCTCCCCAATCAATCCTATCAGCCCCATCCGCCATATAACCCGTCCCATAGGCCCTCCTATAGGTCCCCTCACGGGAAACATCCGCCCTATAAGCCTTCTCGGTTCCACAGACCAAAACTCTCTACTGACACTGACTTCACTACCAACCCAGCCTGTGCCTCCGTCTCTGCACCTTTCATCTGCTTCCCTTCTCTCCTCCTCTCTCCTCTCCTCCTCCCACCTCTCCTCCTCTCTCCTCGCCTCCTCCCACCTCGCCTCCTCCCACCTCGCCTCCTCCCACCTCGCCTCCTCCCACCTCGCCTCCTCCCACCTCGCCTCCTCCCACCTCGCCTCCTCCCACCTCGCCTCCTCCCACCTCGCCTCCTCCCACCTCGCCTCCTCCCACCTCGCCTCCTCCCACCTCGCCTCCTCCCACCTCGCCTCCTCCCACCTCGCCTCCTCCCACCTCGCCTCCTCCCACCTCGCCTCCTCCCACCTCGCCTCCTCCCACCTCGCCTCCTCCCACCTCGCCTCCTCCCACCTCTCCTCCTCCCACCTCGCCTCCTCCCACCTCTCCGCCTCCTTCCTCTCCTCTGCGGCTCTCTCTCTCTCTCCAGCAGAGCTCTTCGCTGCCGAAGCAACTCACTGCACTGCCACTGCCATGCCTCCTCCCACTATCCCCGCTCGCTCTTTCCCCAGTCGCCCGCCTGCAGTGAATCCCATCCAGCACCCTGTTGTTCTAGCTCCCTTTACCTCCACCCTTGCCCCTCCCCACCCGTGCCCTCGTAGTCCTCCCCCTCTTGCTGGGGCTCTGCCGGTTCGCATGACTTCCGCTCTACCTCCCACTCTTGCTCCCGCCCTTGCTGCTTCAACCCTCGCTGCTTCAACCCTTACTGCTTCAACCCTCGCTGCTTCAACCCTCGCTGCTTCAACCCTCGCTGCTTCAAATCTCGCTGCTTCGAGTCTTGCTGCCTCGACCCTCGCCCCTGTGCTACCTGCAACACCCATCTCTCTGGACTCACTCGCTACAACCACGTCAACTTCAGCCGCTGCAGCTGCTACAGCTGCTACAGCCAACTCGTTTGATGACGTGGCTCTAGCAGGTAGAGCCGCTACAGCTGCCGCCCTGGCTGCTACAGCTGGGAGCGTGGGGATGGGTGCTACAGCTGCGAGCATGGGGATGAGTCAGAATGCGTCTGCGGTGTTCAGAGGAGAGGGGGAGGCTGATGATGAGGCGTTCTGGCAGCAGCTGCTGAGTGAAGGGGGGCAGTGAGAGCAGTGGGGAGGGGCAGTGAGTGCGACGGGGAGGAACAGTGAGAACAACTTGGAGAAGTGGAGGAGAGGGGGTACGGGGGGAGGGGAGGGGAGAAGGAGGAGGGGAGGGGGACAGGAGAAGAGCAGGCGATTAGGGGAGGAGGGGCCATGTAAAATGTTTGCCATAACTCTCATTCGTTTGTTCTAGTTTCATATTCTGCTGCCACTGCCCCTGCCTCCACCTGCCTCTGCAGCTGCATGTGTAGTCCTATACATGTGTCCCCCCTGTGTGCTTGTGAATTTTGGGTGTAGATTTTGAACGTTTTGTGTGATTTGTGGCTCGGTTGTTGGGCTGAAAAAGCCCTTAGGATCTTTACAGGGGTGAAATCTGGGTAGAGTTGGTGTAATAGCGGAAGCGTCAATTAAAGAGTTGTGAACCACCTTGCGCTAGTATGTGAGGGCAAAGTAGATTGATTAAAACAAAGAGATACAAGAATATATATAAGAGTACAAGGAATACGAAGAGGTACGGTTGTAACTACTTTACTGTTGCTGTTGCGGTTCGATACAGCGACGACTCGGGCAACTGCTCTGTAGCAAGTCAGTTGTGTGTCCTTGCTGTCGCGCTGTATTTGTCAGGTCAAAGGTCGCTGACCTTTGACTTCCCCGTAACCTCCAGCGGTTGCTTCAACCTCCGAGGGTTGACTCGCCGGTGCTTTGATATGCTCTGCTTCATTTGTGCCTTAGTGTTTCGACACGACAGAGGCGCCTAAGACCGATTGTTTCCAACACTCCCCTTCGCTTCTGGAGTGTCGCTGCTGGTGACGTGGCTCTGTCCAGTCAGCAGCATGCAGTACTCAAACTTCTGCTTTCCAAGCTTCTTGGTCAGGTAGTCAGCTGCCATCTCGGACGTGGGGCAGTATGACAGCTCGAGTCTCCCTTTCTCGATCTCGTCCTTCACGAAGAAATATCGCAGGGCGATGTGTTTCGTCCTGTTCGCGAAGCCGCTTTTGTTGGCGATGCGAATTGCCGACTGGTTGTCGCAGAACAGAGTGAAGCTGGGTAACTGAGCCAGCTTCGCTTCTTCCAGCAGTTCGCGAAGGTAAAGTCCTTCCTTGGTGGCTGAACAAAGTGCAATATATTCTGCTTCGGCTGACGAGAGAGCTATTAATTCCTGCTTGCTCGACTGCCAAGAGATAGGTCCGATAGGTTCGAGGCGGTAGATGTAGCCAGTGCGAGAACGCCTGTTGTCGGGATCGCCAGCGTGATCGGCGTCGACGTAGCCGATTAACTTAGGCGGCGTAGTTGCGTTCTTGTAACAAGTTAAGCCGATCGTTGAGGTGCTGACGAAGTAGTGAAGAGCGCGGTCGAGTTCCGCTAGGTGTTCCGCTTCGGGCCTCTTGAGGTAGGTGGCGAGTTGGCTTGCAGAGTACGATAGGTCTGGGCGGCAGGTGACAGCTGCGAAGAGGAGGCAGCCCAGTTTTCTCTGGTAGTCGCGTATGCCGGCGGGCTTGAGTAGAGCGGAGCCTTCCTTGTTGTTTCCTGACGTGTAGCGGTATGGTGTGGAGATGGCTGTCGGTGTGAGCGTAAAGCGTTTAGCGATGGTGTCGGCATATTTCTCGGCGCTGAGGTAGATCGCGTCCTCCTCTTCCCAGATGTTGAGGCCGAGATACTGAGTGACGGTAGATGAAACTGTGAGCGTGAGATCTCGCTGCAGCTCCCCTTCGAACCAGGTAGTGATGTCGTCAGTTGAGCCGATGTAGAGAAGATCGTCCACGTAGACGATCAGCAGGATGTAGTCTGCGCCTTTCGTGAGCCGGTACATTCCCTGATCGTGAGGTAATTGCTTGAAGCCGATGCGGATGAGGCGGGCGTGCAGGTACTGCTGCCATAGCCGCGGAGCTTGCTTGATCCCGTAGAGTGACTTCAGCAGTTGACAGACCAGGTTCGGCTCCCCGTTGGTACCGTGCGGTAGTTCCACGAAAATTTCTGCGTCAACGGGTGCGTAGAGAAAGGCGTTCGCGACATCGATTTGCCGTAGCTTCTTTTTCTTCATGGCGGCGATCACGAGAAGGATTCGGAGCGAAGTGTGTCGGCTGACCGGAGCGAAGGTTTCGGTGAAGTCTCGTCCGTGTTCTTGGTCGAAGCCACGCACGACCCATCGTGCCTTGAATTTGTCAATTGTGCCGTCAGCCTTCGTCTTCACGCGGAAAACCCATTTCCCGGTGAGAATGGTCTTGTTCCGTGCTACGCCGATGGGAACTACTTTCCACGTGTTGCGTTCCTCCAGTGCCTTCAGTTCCTTGTCCATGGCTTCGCGCCATTTTTCCTTATGCTCCCCCCCCAGAGCCTGTTGAACTGTCGCAGGCTCTTTAGGAATGGCTGCGCCGTGGACTGCGGTGACGAGACCGAGGATTTGGAGCCCACTCTGTGTGTAGCGAGGGAGTGAAGTATCCTCTGGATAAACTGCTTCGTCTCCCGCTTCTGGATCAGGTGCGAAGTTAGGTCCTACGCGTTCTGCTTCGTCTGTGTTGACTTGTGCAGGTGTAACGTAACCGTTGTCGGCGAAGTGGTAAAAGGCTTCGGCGTTGTTGCTTTCGCGTGGATTTTCGTCATCCATTGGGACATCGACGGAACAGTACGGGAGGGGTCCGGCTTCTTCCGAGGCTCCTTCCACGTTCTGCTCGTCCCAGTCAGCTTCGTCTTCTGCCGAAGCGAAGGCTCGGTCTCCACGGAAGCCACCTGTGGGGTCTTGGTTTTCGTCCAGGTTGGCAAGGTACGTTTGCAAGGTGAGCCGCTCGTAGAAAATGACATTACGTGCTGCCACTGTTTCTTTTGTCTCGACGTCGAAAATCTTCCATGCGTTGTAGTGTTTTTCGATGCCCAGGTGTAGTCCCCACTGTGCCCGTTGGGAGAATCGTCCTGCTCGTGCAGATGGAGGTCGGTACTGTACCATGCAGCCGAAGACTCGTAACATTTTTTTGCTGCCCAGTTTTCCTGTCCACAGCAGATGCGGTGATGTGTTGTTCGGTAGTGACGACGAAGAAAGCAAGTTGTGCAGCATCACGGCGTGGTCCATTGCTTCTGGCCACTGGTGAGTGGGTAGCCGCATGCCACGTAACAGTTTCCGCATGGTGTTCTGGAGGGTCCTGTTCATCCTCTCTGCTACACCCTGCTGTTGATGGGCGTAGGGAAGGGAAATGAGCCGCTTGATTCCTCTTTCAGCCAAGTACTGCTTGAACCTCTGTGAGGTGTATTCTCCTCCCCCGTCTGACTGGAAGCTCTTTAGTTTGACGCCCGATTCCCTTTCTGCTACGGGGAGCCAGGCGACGAACGCTTCGAACGCCATATCCTTGCTTGGAAGATTTAGGTGCCAAACGTAACATGTCGCGGCGTCGATGAACGTGATGGTGTAGTTGTATGTGTTCTGCCCCGGCTCGCGATTGTACAGGATGTCGCTGTACACCTTCTCGTTTGGCGCGTAAGCTGGTGCGCTTGGGTTATGGTGAGACGCGAACGGTCGATGTGGTAAGTCACCTTCAGGGCAGGTGAAGCACGTTCCGCGTACTCGTTGAAGTTCTCTTCCGTCGGTCAGTAGTAGTGAGTCCTTGTCAAGTACTCCTGCTCTTATCGTATTATTTAATACTGTGTTGCTTGGGTGTCCCATCCTTGCGTGCCAGGTGCTTTCGTCGGCGCGATGTCCGGGTGATCGTCGGTACAGATCGGAGTTGGAGTAGAAGTTGGCGGTGAAGTTGGCGCTACGATGAACTTCTCGTGGTGCTGGGTGTAGTTGTTGCGCGGGTGTCGGTGGTGTGTCGTCGATGAGGAGCGGTGCCGTTGAAGGACCAGCAATTGGTGTTGACGTTCCTGCTGCTGCCGTTGATGGTTCTGCTACTGCCGATGTTGTCTCTGTTGCTGCCGATGTTGTCTCTGCTGCTGCCGATGTTGTCTCTGCTGCTGCCGGTGTTGTCTCTGCTGCTGCCGATGTTGTCTCTGCTGCTGCCGATGTTGTCTCTGCTGCTGCCGATGTTGTCTCTGCTGCTGCCGATGTTGTCTGAATTGTTGCTAACTCCCTTGTTCTTTCTGCTTCAGGGATGGTGTGTGAGTACCAGAAGCCTTCTGGACTGAAGTCTGGATCAAGGTCTGGAGGGTGTGTCCAGTTGGTGAAGTTAACGATGGCGTCGCTGTCGGCGGTGCCAAGATCAGGAACGAAGTCAAGAACGAAGACGTTGTTCTTGAGGACCGCCTTGCCGATGTAAAGTCCTCCTCTCCCGTGATACAGCTTGAATTCTTGGGTGGTGCTGTCTGCCTCGAGGTGAATGCCCTTCGCCATCAACTGACTGACGCTCAGTAAGTTGTAGCCGAGTCCCTCCGCGATTAGTACCTTTGACATCTGCAGTATAACGTTTGTTTCCCTTGACTGAAGTTGAACTACGCCTTGTCGTCGTGTTCGCAGGTTCTGATTGTTGGCGACTGTAATGACGACTTCGCGTTGAAGTTGGTGTTCTCGTTGAACGAAGCGTCCCGAGGAGCACATGTGCTGTCCGCAGCAACTGTCCAAGAACCATGTGTCCTTTCCGGATGGTTCGCTTTGGGCGATGGCGGCGTATGTCGGGTTCGGCTGAAGTGACTCGCGGCGGGGTGTGGTTTCGTCGAGTTGTTCTTCCGGTGAGTAATGTGGTGGTGACCCGGTGATGCAGGAGTCACTCAGCTTTGCCATGCAGCTGACGATGTTTCTTGCTCCTTGTGCAGGTTGTCCCGTTGAAGTTGTTGAAGCTTGAACCTGGGTCGTGGGATTTGCTTGCGTTGAGGCGATTTGGCTGCTTGAAGGTCGAAGTTGCCGCTGTGGAGTTGTTGACTGTTGACGATTCGGGCAGTGCGTGCGCGGGTGCCCTGATGTCTTGCAGATGTCGCAGAACGGAGGTACTGGCTTCGGTTGCTGCTGCCGGTTGTTGTTGTTGTTGTAGCGTCGCTGAGTGTGGAACGCGAATTCCGGTGCTGATGTCTTCTTTTTGTGTC